TCAAAAATAATATGAAATGGTGAGATTTAATATTAGATTTTTAAATAACTGTATCCAAATTTATTTGGTAATGAGTATTGACGAATAACAAAAATAATATATCAAGATTCATTAGTCCAATCTCAAACCAAATTATGTAATTATGAATAAGTTACGAAAATTTTATATCAAATTCTCGAATTATACAAAATCGAACTAACCGTAAATTATTATATACAATATATTGTTAGACTTTTTGTTAAAATCAATACAAATTTTTAGTTGCTCACACAAATTTTTAAAAGCAAAAATGAATATTGTATTTATCTTAAATGTATCTAATTATATATGCAAAATTGTTTTACATGCTCATAGATTTTCAAAAGATAATCAAATTAACTTTTATTTTATTTTTAAATTAACTAAAATTTGGAATATATGTTAAAAAAATTGTTCAAATTCAATTATATGATTTAAGTATAGGTTTGGTCTAGTGGAATTGAGTCCAAAACAAACTCAACCCTTGGATTTTAAAATACAGTTCTATGAAGCGTCGGATGGTTAAATTTGTTTCCCATGAATATAAAGTGACGTCAACAGATCCGAAAAATTAGATTTGCTAGCTACCTTATATAATATTTTAAGGTTTCTGAAAATCAAGCTATGAGAGGTTGTTATGTGGCAATTATACTTTTAACATATATCCCACTTTTTAAAAATCAAAATAAATTCAAGTTTATTTATAATTAATAGTTTAGTAGTTAAATATTTAATGACCATGTATATATAAAATTAATGTCAATTTATTTTTTTAGCATAATCTACAAACTTTACTTTATATTTGAATTAACTCACAATATACAAGTCACTTAAGTTAATATTAATTTCTATTCAATTTTATTAATCAACCGTNTTTTTNTTTTATACAGTATATAGAAGATTATTGATTCATATATAAAATAGAATCGATGATTAAAAAAATTGTTTTACACTCATCATGGGTTACTGTATCCCAACATACTTTTTGTCGATTAAATATACATATTTTGTAGCTAACTGAAGTATCAAAAAATAAATCTAATCTTTATATATAAAATTACAAGAGACAAATATATAGAATTAAAAAAGTTAAAAAAATAGTTATACTATACAAAAAGAATGAATAAATAAATCATTATTTTATTATAAAAAAATATTTGGTTATTTAGATAACATCTAATAAAGTTATAAACAAACATATTATTTTCAAATAGTAACCATCCAAATCAAAATGGTTGTTTTCATATTCATACAATTCATATAAGAGAAACAATTAATTATATTTCAAGTCAATTATTATTTTGTATTTACAAAGAATTGGTTGATTTTGTCAAACATAAATAATAATTTATTAGGTAATCAAATTGTTTATCTCTAAATCTAATAAAATTTTAAAACCAAAACTTGCGCATCGCGCGAGTCATATTCTAGTATATATATACTAGATATTTACCCGCGTTATACGTGGTATAATATGATATGTAAGTAAAATCAATGTAGTTTTAGTTTAAAAAATAATATATAGTTATTAGGAAAATTATTATACGAAATCCATAACTCATTTATACATTTTAATTTTGTAATTGTTTTCTATATATAAATGTATCACACACGTGAAATAATGGAAAACAATAAATTTTTAGTTTTTTGGTCAATAAATATCACTTATTAATAAAATGTATTTGTTTAATCTTAATCTTTAAAAATACAATTTATAACTCAAATATATAAAATAAAAGATCACAACTATGAATTGAATGTTATATGTTTAGTGTAATTATAAGAGTGATAATATAGTTTTTAAAATACAAATTTGAATTTAATTAATTGTTCATAAATAGTTTTAGATGCTATCGTGAAATTGCAAAAAATGCCATTTTTTATATGCACATTTGCAAAAATGCCACTTAGGGATGTTTATTTGCAAAAATATCACTAATTATAGATTTTTTAAAATCCTATATCTTAAAATTCTAAACACTAAAAAATATTTTGACCCCTAAAGCCCCCTAAACTCTCGTAACTAAACCCTAATAGAACATAATTAACCCAAACATAAATAATATTAAAAACAAATAATTTTGAAAAAGTGGCATTTTTGTAAAGATTTCAAAAGTGTGACATTTTTCTAAAGTGGCACTTGAAAAATAGCATTTTTTGAAATTATAAAGTTTACAATTATTTTGTATGATTTTTTTTTTTTAAATAATTTTTTAGTCATTTTATATCACTGATTAATAAAATATATTTGTTTAATATCATAATTTTTAAAAATATGGTTTATGATTTAAATATATAAAATAAAAGATTGCAAATATAAATTAAATTTTATTTAGAGTAATTATAAGAATAGTAATATTTTTTTTAATAATTTAATGGTAAAGTTTAATATTACAATATTTTAAAAGCAAATCCCTAAATTATATTCAGAGCCACCGGCGGCTA